GAGTCGGCGTTTGTCCGGACAGTTCCCCGTTAGCCTGGTTAGCTCGGTGCTAGCGTCGCAGGTGATGTGAAGCTAAAGGCGGATTAAACCTCACGGCTCTTTAAGGCCTCGGCTCGGGTCCGGCTCGGGTCCGGCTCCGGCTCGGGTCCGGCTCTGGTCCGGCACAAACAGTTTAATTTTAAACTCTTTGCTAAACGTGTTTTATTTGACAGTTTTATAACGACTAAAACTTCACGTGACAATGTTTATGTAAATGTAAATATGAACTGACATTTAGTCCTGGTTTAGATCTGGTTTAGTCCTTGTTTAGTCCTGGTTTAGACCAGATTTAGTCCTGGTTTAGACCTGGTTTTAGTCCTGTTTTAGTCCTTGTTTAGTCCTGGTTTAGACCAGATTTAGACCTGGTTTAGTCTTTGTTTTTTTGTCCTGACCAAGGTTCTGTGCTTTGGTTAAACTGTCACTCACTGTTACACAACATCCTCTGTCCTCTGTCCCTCTGTCCTCCTCTGTCCCTCTGTCCTCTGTCCCTCTGTCCTTCTGTCCTCTGTCCCTCTGTCCTCTGTCCCTTTGTCCTCTGTCCTCTCCCCCTCTGTCCCTCTGTCCCTCTGTCCTCTGTCCCTCTGTCCTCTGTCCTCTGTCCCTCTGTCCTCTGTCCCTCTGTCCCTCTGTCCTCTCTGTCCTCTGTCCCTCTGTCCTCTGTCCTCTGTCCCTCTGTCCTCTGTCCCTCTGTCCTCTGTCCTCTCCCCTCTGTCCTCTGTCCCTCTGTCCCTCTGTCCTCCCCTCTGTCCTCTGTCCCTCTGTCCCTCTGTCCCTCTGTCCCTCTGTCCCTCTGTCCCTCTGTCCTCCTCTGTCTCTGTCCTCTGTCCTCTGTCCTCTGTCCCTCTGTCCTCTGTGTCCTCTGTCGTCCTCTCTGTCCTCTCCTCTGTCCCTCTGTCCTCTCTGTCCCTCTGTCCTCCGTCCTGTCCTCTGTCCCTGTCCCTCTGTCTCTGTCCCTCTGTCCTCCTCTCCCTCTGTCCCTCTGTCCTCTCTGTCCCTCTGTCCCTCTGTCCTCTGTCCTCTGTCCCTCTGTCCTCTGTCCCTCTGTCCTCCTCTGTCCTCCCTCTGTCCCTCTGTCCTCTGTCCCTCTGTCCTCCTCTGTCCCTCTGTCCTCTGTCCCTCTGTCCTCTGTCCTCTGTCCTCTCCTCCTCTGTCCCTCTGTCCTCTGTCCCTCTGTCCTCTGTCCCTCTGTCCCTCTGTCCTCTCTGTCCTCTCCCCCTCTGTCCTCTGTCCCTGTCCTCTCTGTCCTCTGTCCTCTGTCCTCTGTCTGTCCTCCTCTGTCCCTCTGTCCTCTGTCTCCCTGTCCTCTGTCCCTCTGTCCTCTGTCCCTCTGTCCCTTTGTCCTCCGTCCCTCTGTCCTCTGTCCTCTGTCCTCTGTCCTCTGTCCCTCTGTCCTCTGTCCCTCTGTCCCTTTGTCCTCCGTCCCTCTGTCCTCCTCTGTCCTCCTCTGTCCCTCTGTCCCTCTGTCCTCCTCTGTCCTCTGTCCCTCTGTCCTCTGTCCCTCTGTCCTCTGCTCTTTCTAATGTCTTTTGTCTTTTTTTTGTTCCAGATTTTAGTGGTGAAACAGAAACAGAAGAATGACAGACTCCAAACATCTGGGATTAAAGGTAAAACTATTTATAAAAATCTCTGTATATTGATTTGAATAATAGATTTTCTCCACGGAGAAACATGAAGACATGTAAAGTCGAGCTGTTTAATGTCACACTGTGGAACATTCCAGACAGAGCAGTGACGTCTCAGTAGAAACGAGCAGATGACTGACCCCAAACTGTTTGTTATTTTCCTTCACAGTTGTGCCTCTGATGGAAAACTGGAATCCCCGGGTCACTCTTCCTCTCTCAGAAACTCCCCATTAGTCCAGGACTAAACCCGGACTAAACCCGGACTAAACCCGGACTAACCCTGGTCTAACCCTGGTCTAACCCTGGTCTAACCCTGGTCTAACCCTGGTCTAACCCTGGTCTAACCCTGGCTCTGTCCTGGACCCACCCCCCCTGAGGTCCTCGTCCCTCCCGCTCCCCATCTCTACCTCAGCTCTTCTGAAATGTTCTGAAATGTACTGAGCACTTTAAAGTCAAATATACAGGTCAGACAGAAATACCTCAAATGACGAGCGCAAAACCTGAGGATTATTAGAACCTCAGATTAAGTTTTAGTACAGATTTAGTCCTGACTCAGGCCTGGGATGTTGTCTTGGTTATAGTTCAAGTTTGGTCCTGTTTTAGTCCTGTTTTAGTCCTGTTTTAGTTCTGTTTTAGTCCTGTTTTAGTCCTGTTTCAGTTCTGTTTTAGTCCTGTTTTAGTCCTGTTTAGTTCTGTTTTAGTCATGTTTTAGTTCTCGTTCAGCCCTGGTTTAGTTCTGTTCTAGTCCCGGTTTAGCCCTGGTTTAATCCTTGTTTAGTCCTGTTGTAGTCCCGTTTTAGTCCCGTTTTAGTCCCGTT